TGAACCAACGGCAAAGGAAGACCTTTCTCTCTCTGTCTCTCTTTCTCTAACTCTGCCTGTCAAAAAAAAAAAAAGACACCACTGGGGACAAGTGCTGTGACACACTATGATAAGCCACTGCTGAGGACACCCACATACACACATACCATATCAGAGTGCTGATTTGAGTCCTAGCAACTCTATGCGTCTGATCCAGCTTCCTGCTAATGCACCCGGGAGGCAGTAGATGATGGTTCAAGCACTTGGGTTCCTGTCATCCACATGAGAGATCAAGATGGAGTTCCAGGCTCCTGACTTTCACATCACCCACCCCTGGCTATTTCAGGCATGTGGGGGTATGAACCAGCAAATGGTTCTGTCTCTGTCTCTTTCTGTCTGCCTTTAAAATAAATACATAAAGAATAAATCTTTGAAAAAGTTAAAAGATATGTTTGAGCTATATCAGTATAACCCCAAGAAAATTGTCTCCACTGAATGTAAATGAGATTGAATGTAATTTCCATCTGAATACAACGCAAGGTTTTGCATCTCTCTCTCTCTCTCTTTTAAGGGATGGAGACAAATCTGACATAAGAATTTGAAAATTCATTGGGACGCAAACAACAAGCAAGAATGGTAAAGGAGTTTTGATTAGAGAAAATTTATGGGGACTAACCCTGTAAGACAGGAAAATATTATAAAGCTGCACTAACTGAAACAGTATGGTCCTGGCAAAAGAAGAGACCAGGTAGCAAGGAACAGAAGAAGTAACCCAGTTAACAGTCTGAATTGTCTCCAAGAAAATGCTTTGTGAGAAAGACATTTTTTTAAAAAAAAGGTCAATAAGGAACATTCTAAATCAACATTTTGATTCACTCCATTTCAGTTTCCTGCTAAAACCCTGAAAATAATACAATGAGGTGAAACTGTAGAACGATATTGGACATTGCCTGAAACTTTTAGGGGTTATGGTAGAAAATAGCATAGACAATAGCTCAGTGTAGCAGAGTGCTGTCACCTGAGAGAATTGAAGACCTACCCCATGTGTATCACAAAAGATCAACCTCAAAAACCTCATGGGGGGTGGGGGAGGAGAGCGGTGCGTGACCAAGTGGTTAAGATGCACGTGTCCCACATGGAAGCATCTGGATTCAACACTCACCTCCTGACTCCAGCATTCTTGTTTAATGCAGATTCTGGGAAGCATAAGTGATGGGCCATGCAGTTGGGTTCCTGGCCCCACATGGGAGACCTGGCTTTGGTCCAAGTGGTCATTATAGACATTTTGGGGAGTGAATCAGAGAATATTATTCCCCCTCTCCCCTCTCACAATCTCCCCTCTCCCTCTCCTTTGGAATGATATCATAGTATGATTCTACTCAATTAAAATTATTTATTTATTTGAAAGTCAGAGAAAGAGAGAGAGAGACAGAGACATAGAGAGAGAGAATCTTCCATTTGCTGGTTCACTCCTTATATGCCCACAACTTCTAGTACTGTGCCAGGCTGAAGACAGGAGCCAGGAGCCAGAAGCTTCTTCCAGGTTTTCCATGGGGGTAGCAGGGGCGCAAACACTTGGACCATCTTCTGCTGCTCTTCCCAGGCCATTAGCAGGGAGCTGCATTAGAAGTTGAACAACCGGGACATGAACCGGCACCCACATGGAATGCCAGCATCATAGGTGGTGGCTTTATCTGCTATGCCACAGTGCCAGCCCTGTGGCAAGATTTTTTTTTTTTTATTTGACAGGTAGAGTTATAGACAGTGAGAGAGAGAGAGACAGAGAGAAAGGTCTTCCCTCCGTTGGTTCACTTCCCAAATAGCTGCCATGGCCGGAGCTGTGCAGATCCGAAGCCAGGAGCCAGGTGCCTCCTCCTGGTCTCCCATGCGGGTGCAGGGGCCCAAGCACTTGGGCCATTCTCCAGTGCCCTCCCGGGCCACAGCAGAGAGCTGGCCTGGAAGAGGAGCAACCAGGACTAGAACCCGGCGCCCACATGGGATGCCAGTACCGCAGGTGGAGGATTAATCAAGTGAGCCACGGTGCTGGCCCCGTGGCAAGATCTTTCAAAACCGGAAAGCACAATTCTATTGTCATGGACAGATGCCTTCCCTGTGGCTTGTTTATTTTCTAGATGGCTTTCTCTCTCATTTATTAAAACCGCAGTCTTTAATTTTATGAAGTAATAATTAGCAGAACATGTTTCTGTTGCTGAATGTAATTTTGTAAAACTTCATACTGATCCCTGTATAGCCCCAGTCAAAGCTATGGGCCGGTGCCATGGCTCACTTGGCTAATCCTCCACCTGCGGCGCCAGCACCCCAGGTTCTAGTTCCGGTTGGGGAGCCGGATTCTATTCCAGTTGCTCCTCTTCCAGGGCAGTGGAGGATGGCCCAGGTGCTTGGGCCCTGTGCCCACATGGGAGACCAGGGGGAGGCGGGAGGCGCCTGGCTCCTGGCTTCAGATCTGTGCAGCGCAGGCCGCAGCGCTGGCCATAGTGGCCATTTGAGGGGTGAACCAACGGAGGGAGGACCTTTCTCTCTGTCTCTCTTTCTCTAACTCTGCCTGTCAAAAAAAAAAAAAAAAAAAAAGCTATGACATAATCTCTTAGAGCCTGTTAAATAAAAATGTAAATTTGAATTATACCATCTGTGCCAATTACGGAGCAATTATTTTAAAAAAGAGTTCATTTAAATGTATCAAATTTTCTTTCTTCTTAAAAGTTTTATTTATTATTATTGATTTTGAAAGTCACAGTTACAGAGAGAGGGGTAGAGACAGAGAGGGAGGATCTTCCATCTGCTGGCTCACTCCCCAGCTGGCCACAACAGCCAGGGCTGGGCCCGGCTGAAGCCAGGAGCCAACAATTTCTTCAGGTCTCCCATGTGGGTGGCAGGGGCTCAGACACCTGGACCATTCTCTGCTGCTTTTCCTAGGCCATTAGCATGGAGCTGGGTCAGAAGTGGAGCAGCCAGGACACCAACCAATGCCCTTATGCTGTGCCAGCACTGCAGGCAGCAGCTTTACCCGCAATGCCATGTATTGTTACAATACCTTCTGACTAGCATAGTGTTACAGTATTCATTTTACTGCATTCTGGACATGAATGACTTTCAAACCTTGAAAACAGACGTCGGGACCTCTGTTATGGCATAGCAGGTAAATAGTTCAACAGTTCATGTGTTGGAAACTTAATCCCCAATACAACAGTATTAGCAGGTAGTACCTTTAAGAAGTGATTAGGTTATGAGTTATCTGCCATCAGGAATGGACTCAGAACATCACTACAGAGTTCCTGATAAAGGATGCATTCGGTACCTTCACTCCTGCCCGGTAGACACTTACCCTTCTACATTCTGCCACAGGATGACTTAGCAAGAGAGCCCTTATCACATATTAACCCTCTGATCTTAGATTTTGTGGCCTCTAAAACTACTGCCTGGGACTGGCACTGTGGCATAGCGGGTAAAGATGTTGCCTGCAACCCCTATGAGTGTTGGTTTTAGTGCTGGCTGCTCCACTTCTGATCCAGCTCCCTGCTAGGGGCCTGAGAAAAGCAGTGGAAGATGGCCCAAGTGCTTGGGCCCCTGCATCCATGTTGGAGACCCAGAAGAAGCTCCTGGCTCCTGGCTTCAGCCTGGCCCAGCCCCTGCCGTTGTAGCCATTTGGGGAGTGAACCAGCAGATGGAAGATTTCTCTCTCTCTCTCTCTCTCTCTCTCTCTCTCTCTCTCTCAAACTCTTTCAACTAACTAGATAAAATCTTAAATAAAATTCAACAATCTACAAATTAGGAAAGAGGAATAAAATCTAAAAAATGATTCTAGCAACACATGGGAAAACTGTTAAAAGTATTTGTTTCTTTACTTGAAAGGCAGAGTTACAGAGACAGAGGAAGACACACACACAGAGAGCGAGGTCTTCCACCTGAAAGCTCAGTCTCCAAACAGCCGCATCAGCTGGAGCTGGGCCCATCCAAGGCCAAGAGTCAGGAGCTTCTTCCTGTCTCCCACAGTGCAGGGGCCCAACCACTTGGGCATCTTTAGCTGCTTTCCCAGGCCATTAGCAGGGAGCTGCATTGGAAGTGGAGCAGCTGGGACAGGAACAAGTGCCCATATGGGATGCCAGCCCTGCAGGCAGTGGCTTCACTATCTGTGGAAAATGTTCATAATAAAAGAAACTTTTGTATTTAGAGGTGGGGAATGTGTGTTATTTCCAACCCTCTGAGCTCCTTTACTGAGAATCTTCTGTATTTATCGTGTCTATTTTAGACTTTTTAGGGAAAGAGGAGTAGACACAGGAAAAGTCTTCACCTTTTCTTTTCCTGGTATGTATGTGGTGGTGGTGGTGAGTGATGACATGTAATAAGTTAGTGTTTTTTGCCCAATTAGTTTTTTGCAATTCTAAGGATATATATATATTTTTTTTGACAGACAGAGTTCGACAGTGAGAGTGAGAGACAGGGAGAAAGGTCTTCCTTTTCCGTTGGTTCATCCCCCAAATGGCCGTCACAGCCGGTGCGCTGCAGCCGATCCGAAGCAAGAGCCAGGTGCTTCTCCTGGTTTCCCATGCGGGTGCAGGACCCAAGCACTTGGGCCATCCTCCACTGCCTTCCCGGGCTACAGCAGAGAGCAGGACTGGAAGAGGAGCAACCAGGACAGAATCCAGTGCCCCAACTGGGACTAGAACCCGGGGTGCCGGCGCTGCAGGTGGAGGATTAGCCTAGTGAGCCGTGGCGCCGGCAGGATGTTTTTAAAATTAAAGATTTATTTTATTTCGTGGGAAGGCAGAATTCTTCACCTGCTTTCCCAGGCGCATTAGCAAGGAGCTGGAACGGAAGTGGAGCAGCTGGGACTGGAACTTAGGCTCATGTCCCAGGGGCTGCTGCACCAGCTGTGCCAGGACATGGCCCCAGTCACTTACTTTCACAGACCACTAAAATCTCTTCAAGGAGAATTCCCACTGAGCAGCATTATGTCACAGAAAGCCTCCCAAGGATGCTGGGAGATTGTAGATAAGAAGTGTGGGACTGAAGCCCAGGGCTGTGTGTCTTGTCTAATTCCACTTGTCTCGCTCTCCCTGGAAATTTTCGACTGCACCCAGAGCTTTCTCCTTATGGACCTGGCTCTCTCTAACCACAGGACTGACTTGCGATCCCAAGAAAGAAAAAGCCCCACCTGCAAAGAGGAGGGTAGGCTGGAAGAATTCGTCCAGGGAAAAGAAAGGAGGCACAGCGGTGAATAACTGTCAGTTCCTCTTCTTTTCTCTGCTCCCTCCGCAACCCTTTAAATAATTGCCTTTTTTTTCTCAGGTCCAGGAAGGAAGCAGCTGGAATAAGGCGAAGTGGCTGGCCAGGGCTGCAGCAGGCGCCAGTTGCCGCCACCTTAGGAGTTGAGGAAGTGGCTGAGGCTGCACTCCAGTCGCCACGGCAGCGCTCACGGGGCAGGTGGCAACGCTGAGCGCGATGGGGCTCCCCCCTCCGCGGTCACCCACTGACAGCGAGCTCAGAGCCACAGAAGCTACTGGAGCAGAGTTGGCGAAGTGGAGGTGACCAGCCAGTGGGACCGGACAAAGGCGTGGACGCCCAGCAGTGGCGTGTCCTGGAGAGTTTGCTCGCCCACGACGTTGCCCGTGCCTGCTGCAGTGGGCACAAAAGACCGAACTGACCTACGGGGATTCCAGGGACAAGGAGCCTCCCGGAGAGGAGGAGCCCAGGCTTGTGCAGGTGAGGTCTGCGGGTTCCCGCAGCGCAGGGCCGGCGGCACCCCGGGCACAGGGGTGGTGGCGGCAAGGGTCACGACGGGCTGCTGGGGCTTCTTCAGAACAGGGGTGGGGATGCTGAGTCACGGATCTGTCACTGTTTAGCACCTCTCCTCGGCCCTCCAGGGGCCAAAGCAAAAGCGAAAGCGAATGCATCTGGCCAGGCGGCCGGTCCTGGAGTTGCGCTCTCCACCTCGCTTGGGCCTGGGCATCGTACGCGCCGCTGGCCCTTGTCGTCCCGGAGGGGCACTGTCTAGCCTGCTGCCATGGCCCGGAGACGGCTCCGCTCCTTCTCGGCCCACGCCTTCCTTGCGCTGCTGCTCCCGCCAGCGGTGACACTGGGTAAGGAACAGTGCGCCAGGGCGGAGCCGCGGGAGGGGTCCCAAGCACAGAGCCGGACGGCACCAGGGGTCCCATGGCCCTGGGTCAGACCCGGAGGGAGTCCCGGGAGGAACTCGGTGAGCGCCGGCACACGGGGAAGGGACGCGGCGTCCAGCAGGAGGCTCAGGTGAGGCCAGGCGCGCCAAGGGGCCGCTAAGCGCGCCCCCGACTGCTCCAGGCTCTCGGGGCTCCTAGGTCATCCACCAAACGGAGCTGAGCGGTCAGCCTTGGGTTCCAAGGTCAAAGGAAGAAAACGGTTTTGTATGGCCAAGGGGGCGGCGTATGGAGAGGCGCTTGAGTGCGCGCCGGGCGCCCGTCCCACCTGGACAGCTGGGTGGGAGTTGCACGGCACGCGGTTCCCCGAAAGGGTCCAGGGAAAATAACTTCTGGAGTCTGTCAGGCACAGATACGTGATATGGGTGGGCAGCTGGAAGGACAGGTAGGACCCGGGAATAACTCCCAGTTCTTGAGTGAGCAAAGCAGGAAAGCGGGAGGCAGCCCGGGGACGGTGGCGACAGCCTGGAGGCTGCACTCGCAGAGAAGTGAGGACGAAAGGAAGCTGGTGATTGCTCCGAGTAATCAAAACCTCGGGCAGGTAGATCTAATCTCAGCAGGAACAATGAATGAGTGACTTGGAAAAAAATTTTTGGGCGGGGGGGGGGGGGCGAGTGCAGCTAGTTGGAGGGGGACGAAAGATCGGTCTAACTGGATTCCTGGATCCTTGCCGGAGCTCCCTCAGGGTCTCATGAAAGCTATGAACTCTTTACCCAGAAAAGTACAGGAATGCATGCTAACTCAGAAAATGTGCATATGAGTTTGGCATCACAGACCCATTGAAGACCAACCATGACAGTTGGTAACTCCATGATTTGTGTGTATTTGTTTTAAGCAAGTTGCAAATACGGTTAGCCAGTCTGGCCAGAGCTGTCCCACCTCCCCACTTGCTGCTGCCTGGCTTGGTCTGATGTCTTAGCACTGGAGTGCGCGTAAAGTTTCATGTTTACAGGACTGTGAGCTCTTGGTGCCTTCCCCCATCCAAAGCTGAGTTTCCTTGGTGATCTGGTCATTTCCTCCCAGCTGGCCAGCCAGTGTCTCCCTTGCAAATAACAGCCTGGGGCAGGGCAACTCTTAACACAATGTGAAAGTGAAATGCAACTGTGGTCAGAACCCAGCAAAACTTAAAGTAATCAAGAGACACTGCAGAAAGACCTCTGTAGATAATCAACCACATACAGCCTTTGCTCTTTGACCTTGCAAAAACCTTGCAGCTGTGTAAAGATCTGTTGTCACTGCAATCAAGGGAGCAAATGAATTCTTTATGACCAAAAGTTTCCTAAAGCTTTGCATAATCCCTGCCTCCCACCCCACCCTGTCCCCAGGCAAGGACTTACCTGTTTTCTGTCAATATTGATTTGTTGTGCTTCCTAGAATTTTAATACAGTGTGGAGTCTTTCTTGTTTGGCTTCTCTCCCTTGTGGTAATCATTCTGAGAATTCATCAATAGTTGATTTCTAAGGCTGAGCAGTACTCTACTTTTTTAAAATAAAGATTGTATTTATTTGTTTGAGATGCAGAGTTACAGACAGAGAGAGGGAGAGACAGAGAGAGGTGTCTTCCATCTGCTGGTTCACTCCCCAAATGGCTGCAATGGCTGGAGCTGTGCTGATCCGAAGTCTGGAGCCAGGAGCTTCTTCTGGGTCTCTCACATGGGTGCAGGAGCCCAAGCACTTTGGCCATCCTCTGCTGCCTTCCCAAGCACATCAGCATGGAGCTGGATGGAAAGTGGAGATGCCAGGCCCTGAACTGGTGCCCATATGGGATATGGGACGCCGGCGCTGCAGGCTGGGGCTTCGACCCGTTGCGCCACAGTGCTGGCCCCGAGTAGTGTTCTGTTGCATGGCTATCCCACCATTTACCCCTATGCTTGTCAACAGACACTTGGGAGGTTTGTGGGCAGTCACATGCATATAGGTTTTTATGTGTGCATCTGTTTTCCTTTCTCTTGGGTAGAAAACAGCTAGGAGAGAAGTTGCTGAGTCATATGGTTTGGTATGTGTTTCACATTTTAAGTAACTGCTAAGCCATTTTCCAAAGTGGTTGTAGTATTTTACGTTTCCGCCAGTGGCGGTGGAGAGTTCCAGGTCCTCTATAGCCTCAGCAACACTTGGTGGTGAGTCTTTTTAATTTTCCTCGTTCCAATAGGGACATGGTGGTTCACTCCCCAAATGACTGCCAACAACCAGAAATCGTTCAGGCCCTACTGAGGAGCCAGGAGCTTCATCCAGGTCTCACATGTGGGTGCAAGGGCCCAAGTACTTGGGCTGTTTTCCACTGCTTTTCCAGGTGCTTTAGCAGGGAGTTGGATTGGAATTAGAGCGGCAGGGACTCAACCAGCGCCCTTGTGGGACGCTTATATGGCAGGCAGCGGCTTTCCCACTATGCCACAATGCTAGCCCCGCATTTGTTTTTAAGAGATTATCCATATGACTTGTTTTTACACCATTTGAACATCACTTGTCTATGTGTGTATGGGTTAGTTGCAGGATGCAAGGCATCAATACACGAAAACCAATTGTGTTTCTGTACATTTGCAATAAAAGGTTGGAAATTGAAACAGTAGTAGCATTGAAAAGCATTAAGTTCTCAAGGATAAATCTGCAGGCGATTTGGTCAAAAACTCCCAGAGAAGACCGTAATTTGTCCGTAGTGAATATCATGATCCTTTGTTTGGGTTTGGTTTTGTTGCATCGGGTATTAGCGCACTTGGGAATGTTTGCACAATCATTTTTTTTTTGAAACTGTTTTTCAGAACTCTGAGAGGCTTTGGTTTTTGTTTCAAATCCATCATATGTAGTTATTACCACTATTGTGTTGCTCTGATAGCAACAAAGTGGTAGAACTCTAAATGTACAAAATAGGAGATTTGTTGCAATAAACCTAAATGTTCAACATTGAAGACCGTATTAAAAAAGGGAGTTGCTTTCACATAGTTTGCATTGTATGATTCAGTGTCTTTAAATTTTGTGTTTATTTGAAAGAGAGAGAGAGAGAAATCTTCTATCTGCTGATTCATTCCCCAAATGCCCACAACATCCAGGAATGGGCCAGGCCGAAGCTGGATGCCAAGAACTCAATCCAGTTGTCCCACTTAGTTGCAGCAACGCAGGTACTTGAGCTGTCACCTGCTGCCTCTAGGGTACACATTTGTCGGAAGGTACAATTGGGAGTAGAGCCAGGACTCAAGGCCAGGCACTGCAGTATCTGGTGTGGACATCCCAAGTGGTGTCATAACCACGACACCAGACACTCACCCCTGACCTGATTTTTATTAGAAGATCTAGAAGTATTTGTCACAGAATAGGAAGATTTTTTTTTTTTTGACAGGCATAGTGGATAGTGAGAGAGAGACAGAGAGACAGAGAGACAGAGAGAAAGGTCTTCCTTTTTGCCATTGGTTCACCCTCCAATGGCCACCACAGCTGGAGCGCTGCGGCTGGCGCATCGCGCTGATCCGAAGCCAGGAGCCAGGTGCTTATCCTGGTCTCCCATGCGGTGCAGGGCCCAAGCACTTGGGCCATCCTCCACTGCACTCCTTGGCCACAGCAGAGAGCTGGACTGGAAGAGGGGCAACCGGGACAGAATCCATTGCCCTGACCGAGACTAGAACCCGGGGTGCCGGCGCCGCAGGAGTGAGCCGCGGCACCAGCCAATAGGAAGATATTATGTATTGGTTCTGTGTGTGTATATATGAAGTTTTTGGCTTTTCTTAGTTTTCAGTCAAAATTTCAATTTTTTATAAAAGGAAAAGTAAGGAAGACTACAAAGAAATAACCATAAAGCTCTAGAATTTTAGAGACTTTTCTAATTACCTCTCTGGTAACATTTTCATAAGTTTATACATTTTGCAAATTGAACAAGACAGTGTTCTGTACGCCACTACATATAACATTTGTGCATATCCTATATACATTCTGTAATCATTATGATTCTTTATTGTTGGAACTGTGGCTAGATTTCAGTGATCTCACAAGTGTTGGATATTTAGAGTGTCTCAATAGGTTTGAAGTTCTGAGCAGCACAAAGTAGGAATAACTGGATGAAAATGAGCTACATATGGGCCGGCACTGCAGCTCACTAGGCTAATTCTCCACCTGCGGCACCGGCACACCGGGTTCTAGTCCCGGTCGGGGCGCCGGATCCTGTCCGGATCGCTCCTGTTCCAGGCCAGCTTTCTGCTGTGGTCCAGGAGTACAGTGGAGGATGGCCCAAGTCCTTGGGCCCTGCACCCCATGGGAGACCAGGATAAGTACTTGGCTCCTGCCTTCGGATCAGCGCACCGGCCATAGCAGCCAGTAGGGGGTGAACCAACGGAAGGAAGACCTTTCTCTCTGTCTCTCTCTCTAACTGTCCACTCTGCCTGTCAAAAGAAAGAAAGAAAGAAAATGAGCTACATAGAGCAAAAAAAGTTGAGGAGAAACCCCTTTATGTCTAAAAACGTTTCTGGGGTTATTCATTTCCAATCAAATCATCATTTCAGCTAACTTGCTTTGGACCAAATAACTTCTTGGTAAGTTGATTTTATCAAACTGAATGAGTAAACATAAAATGCTCTCAGTTACTCACTACACATGGTTGATGTGATTTGAATGCTTGGAAATTTTGGGGAAGACTGACTTCTTGTTGCTGGGGGAGAGGGAACATCACTCTTTCTTTTATTTGCTTAGCAATCTATACTCACTCAACTCTTCCAGTGCTTTTCCAGTCATTGTTATTGGATGAGCTTTGATGAAATTCGCCTTCCACACAGGAGGCAGGTTGGAAAGCAGAGTTATGTGCCTGAGGAAGGAAGAACCGAGTTGATGAGTTTGGGCAGTGAGCCTGGTGCAGTTTGTACTTACAGCAAATGCCAAAAGTAAGAGTGCTTTCTTGGCTGGCATTGCAGCTGGAAAATAAGGAAGGAG